GCCTCAGAGCATCCACACGGCCGTCTGCTGCCTCAGCCTCGTCATGCCTCCGCTCTGCCTCAGAGCATCCACACGGCCGTCTGCTGCCTCAGCCTCGTCATGCCTCCGCTCTGCCTCAGAGCATCCACACGGCCGTCTGCTGCCTCAGCCTCGTCATGCCTCCGCTCTGCCTCAGAGCATCCACACGGCCGTCTGCTGGCACAGGCCCAGCATGGTTGCCAAGCACCGCCAATCTTGTCAGCCTCCTGTGTCTCATGCTGTGGGTGTAGATGGAGCCTAGAAAGGGGGCATTTTGTCTCTTTGGTAGCCTTTTGTCACTGCCCAGTCCAATCCCTCCAAAGAGTGCCCCCTGGAGGCCTCTAGGCTGATGCCAAGTCATCTTCTGCATCTCCTCCAGTGAGATGGCTCCTTCTCCGAGATTGACGTCAGAAGCCCTGCATCAGGGCCTTCCTTAACCTGATCCACCGATGTTCTGCCCAACAGGGATCTCCCCCGGGGTTAACATCTCCTTCATCAAGGGGGCGGCGGTCGTGCTGGTTGGCACAGAGGTGCAGATGATGTGTCACTCGTGGTCTGGAAGCCAGGGACCCCCCAAATGGTACCGGCTGACTCCACATGACGGGCCCATAGTCATGTCAGGCGACGTCCTGAATCTGCATAATGTGACAGTGGAAGATTCCGGAAGCTATGCCTGTACCTACACTACAATCCTTGATGGCAGCCAGCCCGTTAACCTGACAGTGATCGGTACGTGCTGCTTCACAGACGCTTTGCTCGGCCGCTCAGCACACGCCCCCCCTTCACGTAGCTGCCGCACCCCCCTGACAGGGCTTGCTGTCGCTGTCTCCGCAGAGGTGCTCCCCCCCGTCACGGTGGCTGCCACACCCAGCATTCTCTTCGTGTTCGAGGGCCAGACGCTCACGCTGAGGTGCCTGTCAGCCTCAGGGGTCGCCGTCTCTCCTCTCGTGGTCTGGAGCTGGGAGAGACTGGGTGTCAACGCCTCAGAGAGCGTGGGTTCGGGCCAGGAGCTGAGCCTGAGCACCATGGGGCAGAGCGGCAACTACCACTGCCAGGCACACCTGTCCTTGGAGGGCATCAAGCAGCTGCAGACCAGCGAGGTCCACGCAGTGCACATCCTCCCCCAGCCAGGTGATCCTGCAGGTGATGGGCAATGGCACTGTGTGTGTGTGTGTGTCTGTATGTCTGTGTGTGTGTCTGTATGTCTGTGTGTGTGTC